ATCCAGCCACCCCCCAAACTTCAGGACCCACCACAGTGACTGTCATGTTACCTGTTGCATCTTTAAGTACCTATTGTTTGTTTTAAATTCTTTATTACCTGTTGTATGTTTTGATCTTTTTGCTGCCAACTATTCAGAGTTTCATCCCCTACAACCACTCGAATCTGAAAAAAAAATCAGTTTTTCTTATTACATAATATATTTACCTACTCAATTTGCTATACAAGATACTTCTCATCAAATTTATTGCAGCTTATCAGTAGCAAAAGAGAGGCAACTCTTTCAATAAGTTAGTCAATAATTAAGAATCTCTCCAGTAAACAAAACAATCTTAAATTTGGTCATTGAATTAATCAAACGTTTACTGCAGATTAATTAAAATAATTCTCATAAACAATTTCCTTTACTTAAATGAATGTGTTTTCCTTTAATCAAAATAATCCATCATTTTATACCAATCGTTTTGAAGGGAAAATGTCAAACACAATCCTCATGTACTCAATCATGGTTTCCACGTTACACGTCCACATGGACTTCATGATCGGGGCGGCAGGTATGATTCCCGGCGTCTTAGTCTTAGACATCACATCGTACTCTATACTCTGTTTACAGGATCGCCCAAACAGGGGGCCTCTGTCTAGTACAAACACAGTCTTGTGCTCCACTGGGTATAACATATTGTCAAGTCCCTGAAAGTTGAACAGATCAAATTTATTACAAAGAAACTCAGAAAATGAATCCAACATCTCTGAGTGAGAGTTTAGTCAATTTCCATAATTGTCAAGAATGGAAAAGAAAAAAAAGGAAAATTTCAAAAAAGGATAAATAGAGGATATATTCAATAATTTTGTAGCTAGATTTGGAGTTTATCACACTCATGAGACATTCATGGTATTTTTTATTCGAGCATATACATGTATATATACTTAACATTCTTGAAAATAAATTGTGTCAATCATGGAATAATTCCATATAAAACTATTGGGAACAAAATTGAATTTTCTATTATTTCACTTCTTCTTTTTTTTTTTTTACCTATTTTCTATTTGTATTAGCTGTCTTTTCAAAATGCAGTGGCTTTGTAAAAACTAAGCAGTTGTGATATTTAAAGCAAAGCAGTTGTCATCTATGCTAACCAAATGTTTCCACAGCTTTTCTAATGTATATGCTGGCTAGGTGATTGACATCAGTAAGCTCCAATCATGTCTCAAGAAAAAAAATTCACAATTTTGATATCAATGGCATGAATGACAGGCTAAGGGTTAAACCAATTGTGAGAAGTGTAATGGATCAGAACCGGATAGCCATCAATGGTGTGAAATGTTGAGATTTAAAATCATAAAATGGATTCTACAACAATTCGGAGAAAGTTTGACAGATGACTCATCAAGAGGTGCTTCATTTATTATCATTATCTAATGCAAGTATTTCTTGAATATAGGCCTATTCTTTGTGAAAAGGAAGAGTTTTGCTGCAAATTTATCATCTTCAAAAAATATTTACTGATAATATTGCAGCTTTTTAGTGTTTACAATAATTATAATATCATTAATTATAAATGGTTAAAAAAAATTAGATTTAATTCAAAAACACCCATTTTGAAAGAAGCATCAGAAAAAATAAAATTAAAATAAGATTATGTTTTCTCAAAAACAGAAATATTCAAACTTAAGGGATCACTGTCTAGTTAGTACAGTATGCCAGGGCATCAATGAAGAAAGTGGGAAACATGGGATAATTTGCATAAATGGCGAAGCCATGTAATGTTATGCATAAATTTTCTAACGTTTCCCAATGTTGTTGATGTCCCTGGCATACTCATAGACAGTGATTCCCTATATTTCCATTTCATTGTGAAATAAAATTGTAGATTTCGATTTTAATAAAAATGAAGATATAGATTTCAATTACACTAGGACTTCAATGCCAATTTCAATAGTCCTCGCCCACTAACGTCAAACACAAAGGCAGTCGCACAAGATTTACATGCATATTTGGCCTCCTTAGCGTCAGACACAGAGACATATGTGCACAAAATCTGCATGCATATTAGGCCTCCTTAGCTCCTGACATAATGATCTGCCTAATTTAAATTCCGGTAGAATAATCAAGAAATCAACTCTGCTAACTTGCAAAGAATTATCACAGAGAAAAAAAAAAATAGAAATGGAAATATCTTGTTACATGTCATAAAACACTAATGATATAAATATTGTGAATACTGTGCATATTTCAGGCCTTCATTTCACTGAATCATTCTGTGTAGGAAATTTTTAAAAAATTATAATCTTCGAGTAAATTCGAAATGGTAATGAAACTGGACTAGGCCTACAACTTGAGTCATTAGAAAATTAAGGATAAAGCTGAATACAGAAACTCACTTATTTCTCTAGAGAGCAAACATAACTTCTTTGTTAATGCAAAATGTTCTTTTTGCGCATTTCTTCTATTAACCTGTAAATGTAAGCAAGTCTAAAATCACTTTTCCTCAAGACACAAACAAGTGCGCGCCGCCATTTTTTCACTGCCCGGATGTAATAACAAATATTTTACAAAATATTTATGTCAAATACCAAAGAAAATAATTTCAATGAAAATTTTCTTTAACATTAAATCTAATTGAGTCATTTAATTTGTTAATCACTTTTTTCCAAACGATTTTTCTATGTGTTGCTATGGCAATTGAGTAATCAAAGATGTCGTCCACCAAGAGTTCGGTTGGTCGTGATGTTGAAGCGAAAGAATATCTCGAGGAGCACCGTGTTTTGGAGCTTTTTAATAACATGACTTCTCAGCTGATATACAACAGACCTGGTACAGTTCTTTTTTCTGCTTCTCTCTTTTTTTAACATCATATTTGAATGAAATGTTTTCAAAAACAGTGGGGGGGGGGGGGTCTTGAACTTTTTTCTATGAAATACAACGATAAAATAATGATGCTATAGCCTATGAACAAAGCCTAGCTACAAACCTGTTCCTAGACACAGATAATTCTAACTGGTATTATATTTTATTATCCTTCAGAATTATACAGTCAATCTGATTGGTTTAGAGCAGGTCACGTGCAGGGAGACAACTCGTGATGTCTCCCTCACGCGCAGGGTGACAACTGTTATCTCCCTTCAGATGACAATGAAATAGCGTAAGCGAGCATGCAGGGTTACAACTGTGTTGTCGCCCTTTGAATGAAACTACAGTGATTTAAGCGAGATAACTCTTATTTACAAGTACAATTAGCCTAATAAATTTTATATGCGGGATCGGTAAACAATAAATTCTAACGATGACGTCAAAATTGTCTGTTGACATATTTTGAAAGTATAGAATCAGAGCAGAGTAGAAGAAAACAAGAGGTTTGATTACTATTTTCTACTCTACATAATTGATAATTTTATATTCTTCAGGAAGCGCCCTCGGGTGACAACCCTACTCAGACCTGATAATTGGTGATGTCTCCCTTCTGAACAGTCCATAATTGTATAATATAGTTCAATTTGCATATCTCTATCTAATCCGAGGTTCCTCTGACTCTAACCCCCGCTTTTATATTATGACTTGTGCGGGGGAGAGTCAGAGCACAAGTCATAATATAAAAGCGAGGGTTAGAGTCAGAGGAATCTTGGATTAATCTCTATCAGTCTATATGCAATGTGTTAGATCTAAACCTCACTGAGAATAATAGCACAAGGCCTCTGGGTTTCTATTGTGGCGGTCAGATGGGTTCGATCGAAGGTGGCCAGATAGCTCAGTTGGTAGAGCACCTGACCAGAGTTTCAGGGGGCCCTGGTTTGAATCCTGGTCTGGTCCGCTGCATTTTCTCCTCTCCTATTACATTTGGTGCCGTGCCATTCCCTGGAACTGAAAGGTGAGAGGCCTGCCTGGGTTGGGGTCTTTGGAGGGCCAAAGACCTTTAAGGAAGGAGGAATGTGGCGTTCAGCTGGGTTCATTGCCAGTGGCCAGATAGCTCTTGACTGGAGTTTCAGGGGGGTCTAGGTTCAAATCCCGGTCTGATCCGCTGCATTTTCTCCTCTCCCGTTACACTATCAATAAACCATTTATTGATCAGATTGATATATATATATATATAATATATACCCATTCTTTATAGAAGGGATCACTCTGATCAATCATATAACAGCTTATTGATAGAAATTCAGAGACCTGTGATAAAAGAAAATCACAACATCATGAATTTTTTATGAAATGTAGCCTCAAGAATCTTAAAAAAATATTTCAGAAAACCCAAAGAAGTATATGATAGAATTGCTTGAGAAGCTTCAGAGGTCCAGAGCCACAAAGCATGACTATCCTTGCCTGTTTGACGACACTAACATCCAGTCAGTGTATAACATGCTGGATCCTACAAACAGGGGATTTATCACAATGCAACAGTATAGAGAAGGTACATATTGTATATTATAACTTCATGTTTTTGCACATTATTAACTTATTATCACAATTAACTTAAATGTCTGAAGCATAAACAATATTTGATGTATGATAGTATGGTACAGACTATAAACATGTCTTCTTATTCTGTCAGTTACTCTGTTTAAAAAGTATTTTTCCTACAAAATGTCCTTGTGTATGTCTATGATATCTGTAATCTAACTGTGTTACTGTTATCGTGTACATTTTTTTTCTTTACAGCCATGTCAACACTAGGTATATCACCTGTCGAGGAGAATATTGAAGGAGCAAATGAAGACAAAATCAATTTTGATGTATTCTTATCACAAGCGTAAGTTTTTCCTTATCTTTTACTGATTTTTACTGATAAAACTCTGCAGTTAAAAGGAATTCAAATTGCTTCGAAATTTTGCTTCTTTATAATTATGATACTGCATATCTGAATAAGAATTACAGAGAAAAGGTTTTCTACAGTGGACCTTTAGATACAATTGTATCCGGATGCCAGATATCCGATGCTTCAGTATCTGGACAATTTTTCATAGGAGTGGAATTTTTCAATGTTATTTTGCCTAGACAAATTGACTAGGAACCAAAGAGTCTGGATAAATGGGGCCTCACTGTACATTAATATAAATAGTTCCTTAAAACTGCAATTTTCTTATGAGCAAGTTCTCTGTAATGGCAAAGTTTTTCTGATATCTCAAATGCATGTCTCATACTGATATTTACTGATTTTATTGATATCTGAAATAAATGTGTAACCTGGATTATTATTATTGGTTTATTGGTTTATTTCCTTTTTTTTTTCAAATTTATAACTGATAAGTGATAAGTTTTAAAACTATTGTGAATTCCTACCAAAATCTTTACAAATTACTTATTTTATAATTCTGGCAAATAATATTCATTGCAGTTTTGATAAAGAGCACTTAATAATTACAACATTTTTTTTTACAATAAATCAATTTTAATAAAAATTGAAATTTTGTAACAGATATTAAATGGAGAAAATATTGATTAAATTTTACAGCTTAGCAAGGTTTTGGAATATTAAAATTTCAAATAAGGAGTTAAATTTTAAAATAAGAATGTAAAGGGCCATCAACTTATTTGTTTGTAAGTGGATATTGAGTAAATATGTTTTACTTGAATGTCTTATATAGTTATGCTATTTTTTCCTCTTTTGCAGGAGAACTGGCCTAAGTAAAGCATCAGCAACATTTAAAGAAGCATAGTATCTAAAAGACTTTAAAATCAACTCTCACATTGTACATATATTGTAAATATTAAATATTCATTTATTTCACAGTTGAAAATCTCATGTTTTTGTTAAACTTATATCACAAACATTTGTGTTTGTTTTTGTTTTATTTATCTCATAAACAATGATGGTGTTTTAACTGTTTTTATGAGATTCAATGCTCTTTGAAGAAGGAAATTTAATTCTTAAACCAGGAACGGACCACCCCCTCTTTTATTGTATTCAAAGATAATACATACATACATGTAGTACAGAGTGTACATGTACATAAGCACATGTATATTAAAACTAATACATTAAACAGTTGTGATACTTATACATGTATGCACATGTGTGTAGAGGCATATCATCATTCATATGTAAATATATTGGATGGGGGAGGGGTCGAGGGAGGGCACTGTAAGATGGGTGGCTGGGGCTATAAGGAGTTATGGTGAAGAAAAAAAAATAATTCCAAAAACTTAAGCCTCTTTAAATACCCCTCGGATATGAAAGTTTTACAAACACTTAGAATTTACGACCTTGATCTTCCCTGGGCCATAGGAAGTTATGGAGTAGTTTCACTGCAAAGGTTTGCCTGAAAGCTTCTCGAGGTATCGCAGAAACGAAAGTGTTAAAGCAGACAACTTTTGAATTTATGCTTTGACCTTTTGACCTCAAAATCACCAGGGCCTTTCTTACGCCGTATAGATTTATGTTTCTCCCAAGAATAAAATGTGTAAATAAAAAAAAAAGATTGCTAGTATTATACAAACATTACCAATAATCATGAACATTTTACCAGTAATTAAGTAACAATTTTTTCAACAGTCTACTGGAATTCCCATGGGTAACAATTGCGCCTTGTTATCAACAGACCTAGTTTTGTGTTCATATGAAGCAGATTTGTCCAAAATCTTATGCGGCCGTCAACTCGACATTTAGATATATATATATCGAAGAAGAATTGTCAATTTTAAAACGATCATCATGATCAATTCCGTTTTTACGGCTATACGATATATCCCGGTGAGCTTGAGATAAAAGATACCACAGAGTTTGACACATCTGTTTAGACATATCACTTGAAAGAAAGCGTTAATGGTAATCTAACTACCAGGCTTAATGATAAAGGAGATGTCTTACTTTTCAATCAGATTGCAGTATATACCTTCATCACCTGCATACGGGGTTTATATCTCTCAGTTGATTCGATCGATACGCAAGAGCATGGTCCACGTATGAACAAAAGGAGGCAAGTTACCGAAACAAGAATATACCAAGAGTCTCGATTATAGTCATGATTTCGTAAGTTCTACATAAAGCTTTCCTTTACTAGCTGTCAGCCTTACGTTGTACAAATTTTGCAAATGGCAAAAGACGCATTATAAATTTATGAAATTTGTGTGAAATTTGCACGATAAGGCCGGTACTTAAGATATTAAAATTAATGAAAAAAAACATGTTTTACTTGTCCCGTGAAAACTATTTACCTGTATGAACAATGTTAAGCCCACTTGTGAAAAAAAAAACATTTAAAAAGTCATGTGAGTTCTAAATTAAACATTCCTCAATTTTGTATGATCAGCTGCCTTGGACGAGTGAGCATCCTCTGCCGACTGGTCACACCCGTCGTGTGCTCCTTGTCATGATCGGAAAATAACGGATAAATCCGTTGTCAATTCAGTGTGTAAGTAATGGCTTTACAATTAGAATGAAAACCGTCAGTGGGCATATGATATATAATGATATTTGTGAATTTGCTGACAAGGTCATTGTATCGACCATAGAACTTGTTTTTGAGAAAGCATGGTTTCATGCTGCAAACTATTTTTCATTCAAATCTATTGCTTTTGTTGTAAAAGATGTTGAGATTTTGCTATTTTAGAACAAAGAGAGTCTAGATCTCAAAACAAGATCACAATACATTTGTATTGTTTATGAGATTTTTAAGGTCTCTTTAAGATTTTGAACAAGCGTAACCATAGATGCAGCAGATATGCGTCGTAGCCTCTGAACGCCTGGAATTAATAATAACCCCTCCCCCGATGTATGTGCCTTTATCCTCTTATCTTTCTAGATCTAGAGTTATTGATCAATTCAACAATACAAAAATTTATGTCACCAAAACTACTGAAGAAGGAGCGTTGTCTAGATTGTTACAAATGACATGCTATAGTACTTGACCTATATTCCTGACCTTATTACCTTGATTTTCAAGTTTTGTCTAGTTTTGAATCAGATATACATTTATGATTATGGAGATAACGAACAGTATTCAAGCCCAAAAATCTATTAAATAATACAAATTTTGGAATTGAGCAAATTTTGATCTCTGACAAATTTGGATCAGGTGCCATGGAGGAGTGAGCATCCTCTGCCAACCGGTCACTCCCACCGTTTACACCTTGTCATGATCGAGAACAGTTAAATCTAAGCTTTCGTAAATATATACTAATAAAATAAACAGAAAGGAATCATTTGATACTTCCAATATTCATGTTACAAGTTGCTTATCATAGAATGTCCTAATATGATTCGCTGCAAGGAAAACAATCAAGATTCGTAAATTTTCCGAAAGACGTCGTTACGCTCAGCCCACAAACATTTAATGAAACTTCCTACGGTAACGTGTTGACTCAAGACCTCGGGTATTTGGAGAATGGTAAATTTTTTTAATGTACACTGCCTGTAAAAATTTAATTGTTCTTAATTTTAATTGATACTAATATTAATTATCTTCTGGACATTATCCTGTGGACTTCTATCGTAGAATTCCTAGAAAAAAGGACTATATTTTCAGAAGTAAAAATTATAGTAAATATATTTCTTATGAATGTGAAAGTATCATTGTATATAGAAAGTATTATTGTTAACAATAAAAGCTAATTTTACATGGGAAATATATAATCAACTAAAAATGACCATTATCAAGCAAATAAGTGTCTTTTAAGACCAAAGCATTTCGATGTTTTCTCTCAAATTAAGTGGTTGTTGAATATAAATTTGAACTCCAAAACTAATTATAATCCAAACTTGCAAACTGAATTGGAAGTTTTTACATATACGAACTGTATACAAACTGTAGCCTACATTTTGAATCCAGGAAAAAATAGATAAGGAACAAGGAAGCAAAATATAAAAACGAAAAGCTAAAAACTGAAAAAGAGCATGAGTCGTGAATTAGGAAACATTGTCATTTATTCCTGATGTTAACTAAATGACGAATGACATATCACATAAAGTCTGGTCGAATTCATATGTTTGAATAGGTAAGTTTAATTGATAAATTTCTAACTTTTGTATTCAAATTACATGTACACGTGTATATAAAATTTGACTTCATATTGACAGATACGTTAAACTTTACGTTTTTATCATTCTTTTCCTAGTGAGTTTTTAAATGGCTACTCCCATCTCCTGGGCTCAAGATGTCATCACATGTGACCTATGTGATAACCCAACCGAGCAGTTCTGTAACAACTGTCAAGTTAGTCTGTGTGTGGATTGTGTTAGTAAACATGTGGATAGCCGTAAGTCCCTCCCTCATGAAATTGTTCCTTTTAAGAACAGAAAGAAACCAATGGTATGTGAGGCCTACTGTCAACAGTGTGATGGACCTGTGTGCTTCAAGTGTATCCTTGACAACCATAAAGGTGATGATGGCGTAGAATTATCAAAGGTAGTGGCAAACAAAAAGGAAGAAATTGAAAAAGATACAAATGAAATTGAAACTGTTATCATTCCAAAGTGTGAGAAAAGGGAGAAGGAAACCAAAGTTAGAGCCTCCAAATGCACCGCTAAGTATGAGGAGTTAGAGGAAGAAACTGAAGAGCACAGGATATTATGGCATAAGGAAGTTGACACCATTTTCAACAAATTTTGCTGTCTGATTAAATCATTGAGGGATGATCATCTACATACTCTAGAAACACATCAAAATGACCTCAAAACCTTGATTCCAGAAATGAAGAAAACAGTTGAGCGAAACAAAGAAATTTTAAATAATGACAGACTTTCTGAAGTCATAAACTACAAATCAAATATAATTGAATACAGGAACATACAAACTGATATCCATTTCGAAATTCCGTCTCTGAATGCAAAAATAGTTCAAGGGAGTGAACTTAAAATAGAAGTAGGAGGTTACATGTCAACATTGACACATAATCTAGATTTATTTACGAGCGAGTTAAACAAAGTTATAGCCACAATTCCAACTAAAGTTAAACCTCTACTCAAGGTGGTCTGTGTAGGATCCGATAAAGCTTGGATCAGTGGAAAGGACACAACCATATACTGTGTTGACATACACGGAGAAGTACAGGACTCTATCAAAACGGCCTCTTTAGAAAGGCCTACAGACATTACACTGACAAAACAGGGTGATCTGATATACACTGATTATAAAAATAAAACTCTGAACATTGTCAGACAAGGGAGGATAGAGGTATTGGTCACTACACAAGAAGGCTGGAAACCAAGGGGCCTTTGTGCCACCGGATCAGGTGACGTATTGGTCAACCTGTATAATGGGAGTCGAAATAAAATCGTTCTCTTTCAAGGACAAACAGTGAAACAGGAAATATATAAAGATGGCAACGGAAAAGAAATCTTTAAAAGGGGTAAATTTAAACTGCTTTTATCAGAAAACAACAATGAAGACATTTGTATTTCTGATCCTAATGCCAACATGGTGATTGTGTTGGATAACGTAGGATGTGTTCGATTTCGATACGATGGGACACCTGCCAGAAAGGAGGAGGTATTTTGCCCTAGCCAAGTAGTAACAGACTCCATGAATCAGATTATTGTGGCAGATTACAACAACGACTGTCTACACATTCTTGATGAGAATGGACAATTCCTTAGGTGTGTAAATAGCTGTGAACTAAATAGTCCTTATGGATTGAGTGTCGATACTGAGGGAAGGATCTGGGTAGGATTGTGTTATTCAGGAGAAATAAAAGTTATACAATACATGAAATAAACAATATAAACGTCTTATGAAGATTGCCGATTATGCAAGATTTATTTACGCTTGCAAATATATTTTGAAACATTACTGAAACTTTTATATTAAATTGATTATATTTATAAATACGTAAGTGTTGTACAAATAATAAATCATGATTTTATGAAAGCTGAAATAAATATATGCGCTAGGTATTGCTAACGCACCACTTATTCTTCTTATCTGTGAATTGAACATTTGCCTCATGTATCGGTGTTAGTATATATAATGCGCCATCTTTTCGAATACATTAGTATTTACAAATGCCTTGGTGTCGTGACAAAACCCAAAATAACTTTCTTGTCCGAAAACCAATTTCCCAACATGCATTGTACACCATTTTGCCAAGATATGCAGTTGCTAATTACATTTGATGGTTCCGAAGTTTACACTAGATGCATACAGTCTCCCATTTAAAATTAAATAAGTACCAGTCCATATAAAAATCATGCAAAAGGTGATTCACTCAGGTTCTCAGAATTCAATGATTTTCCATACATAGATTTCTCTTGACCTATGATCCATGTATGTAAAATAAAAAATCTTTTGGATCATGGTTACTATGGAAACCTGATCAAAGTAATTTCCTTAGCAACCAGCCAATTTTTCTTTTTGAACGCACTGAAAATCACTGATCTTTAAAGCCTGAAATTATATATAAAAACTTTAACAATAATTCTCATTTACTTGTATGATAAAGACACACACTTTAATTGTTTATTACACACAAGACATTAATATTTTATCTGAAGCTAGTACTATGGTAGACATTAGAATATATGTATGTTTTTGCTTTTTTGCTGATTCAGCATTTTCCTTGATTTTGACCATATTCAAGGTCAATTTAAAAAAAATACCAAGCTAATACAGATTTTTCATGACTTTCACATAAAAGTAGAGAACTTTCTCTTTTACAGATTAACTTTGAAAGCGTGGGTTTTTTGAAAAATCCTATTCGTTGCCTAGCAACAAAATTGAATGTTTTGATAACTAAAAAGTGAAAAATGGTAAAGGGTTGGGTAAAAAATCTTATGAATTTTTATCTTTTTGTGGCAGATACAATTTTTCAAGTAATAGAAAATAACTCCCATATAATTTTAAAAAGAAAGAATAATTTATAATCATTAATCTCCATGGCAACAGGAATTTTTCCCTAGCAACAATGCAAAAACAGTTATTTTTTGGCCTTTTTGGTATAGATTTTGATAGATACGAATAGATATTTTTTCTTAAAAATGCGAGTGGGCATAAATGTCAATTTAATATGGGTCTGATAAAGTTATTTTGGTACTTGATTAACTCATGGGTACAATTCTGAACACTTAACGACCACTTTTGTATCTACAATTTACTTTTACATTCAGGCATTTTTTTCGCTAAATTTTTAGGGCTGAAATGAGATCTTCCACAAAAGACTTTATAAATGAAAAAATAAGTAGCTTCAGATACAATATCATTATGTAACAAAACATTTGTATGGATGACAAGATTCCATAATCAAATTATACTTGGGTTGCCATGGCAACTAAATGCACAATGACCAGAAAGCAAACTATCTGTGACCAAAATATTTGAAATTTTAGCTTCCATTAATAAATACTAGTAATACCTTTGCTAGCATTGCAATAAGCAAGCACACAGAAAGCTTTAAAATTCATAATTTAAGAAACTATATATTTTTATGGTTACCATGAGTACGCTTTGAAGCTAGTGTTGCTTAGCAACTGCGTAATATAACCAGATTTTGAAATGTACTAATGTTTCGGGTAAAAAAAATATTATCATTGAAATTAATTCATCATTTAAAAATTCTTATTTAAAAAATTCTACAGCTTTACATTCTAGAAACATTTCATTGGTGGATAAATGCTTTTCTGTTAACATTTTGTTTGGTATCTGCCTGTCTGTTTGTCTGTAGACTTTTCACATTTGTATCTTCTTAAGAACCATTTCACCATAACTTTCCAGAAGCGGAGTTCAAAGTTTAACGTATGAATGTATAGAAAATGTCTTTTTATTGTTTTTAAGTCTTCTTCTTCTCGAGAACAGCAAAACCATGATTAGGCTTAGAAGTATCCTCGGGTTATGGAGATTCAATGTTATTCAAATCATGACCCCTGTGGGTAGGGCAGAGCCACAACAGGTGGTTAAAGTATACAATTGGAATATATAGGAAATACATGTATCTTAAAAAATATTTCTCAAGAACCGCTAAGCCATAATTAGACATATAGAGAAGTATCATCAGCAGGGGCGGATACAGGATTTGTGGTTAGGGGGGCGTGGATAACTTTGTTGAGGCAAGAGGTCTGGGGGCCGCCTTAAGGCCATCAGTGGGTCCAGGGCGAAGCCCTGGTGGGGGTCCAGGGGACGAAGCCCCCGGAAGTTCTTGGGTTTTTGTGTATTTAAAAGTAAAACCAGGCAAAATAATAGTGCATATTTTTCAATTATTTTTATTAAAAGTGGCATATAGGTCCGGATGTTTGAATAATAATTGTATTGAATGTTTCTCAATTCTCATTGTATTGTAACACATGCCACTATAATAAACGATTTACTTACTTATTACTTACTAATAGTGGTATAAGTTAGTGATGTACCAAAGTACGACGTCTTCAATACTAGTCATATCATACTTTGAATGGTGGGGGACCAGGGGGCGCAGCCCCCGGAAGCTCCTGGTTTTTTGTGTATTTTAAGAGTAAAACCAGGTAGAATAACAGTGGTTTGGTTAGTTTTGTACCAAAATGTGGTATTATGAATATAAGTCACATCACACTTTGAAAATTTTAAGGGGGGGGGGGGGGGGGCGTCCCCCACGCCCCCCTTAAATCCGCCAGTGATCAGGTAGTGTAAAATCAAGTTTTTTCAAAACATGACCCCTGGGGTTGGGCACAGACACAACAGGGGCCCAAATATCTTACTTCTTCTTTAGAACAGCAAAACCATTATAAGTCATATTAATATAGAAGTATCCTTACGAAGTGTAGATTTAATGACACCCGAGGGTAGTTCAAGGCCACAACAAGGGGTGAAAGTTTACAAAAAAATATTGGGAAAAAGTATTTTGAAAATTCTTCCCCTTAAGAACAACAAAAATGTGATTAGTAATATTGAAATGGAAGCATCTTCAGGTAGTGTAAATTCAAGTTTGTCTCCCGTAGACATTTCAAACTGATCTGATTTCTGTTCTTTCAAGGCAAAAGTGCTTGAGTAATGTGGGCCTGTTGGCTTCTTTTTCTACAAAATAACGCACTTCTCTCTCCTAAAAATGAAGAAATTACATGTAATATGAAATCAAAATGCATATTGAAAATTGACAGTTCATGAATAAATATCTTGACTATCGCTTTCAATAATAATCACACAAATGATTAGACGAATTGATTTTATATAATTATCAAATTAAGAAACAATCAAACATATATTTCTGTTTCCTTTACAAAGGCACAGAGAGTAATGTAGTGCATATTGAACTAATGTAGTTTTCTGGGGTAAAATATAGGAAAAAAAATACAATTGTAAATATAAAACCTAACACCACCTGTTCAAAGGTTAACGTTTTTGAAGGTAACTCCAGGGTCAAGGTTAAAGGGTCAAGGTTGTTGGTTTTTAAAGAAAGGCCTTGTTCCAAAGATTACATATATGGGAAGTATGAAAGTGCTGGCCTTTACCGTTCAAATGTTATGGCCAAGGTTAAAGTTTGTAAAAGTAGGTCAAACTCCAAGGTCAAGGTCAAAAATATTTATATTTGATGAAAGGCTTTGTCACAAGGATTACATATGTGAAGAATGAAAACTCTAGCCCTTACCGTTCATAAGTTATGCCCAAGGTTAAAGTTAGTAAAAAGTAGGTCAAAATCCAAGTCCAAGGTCAAAGGGTTAAAGTTGTTGATATCTAATAAAAGGTCTTGTTACAAGAATTACATATGTAAATTATGAAAGGCCTAGCCCTTACTGTTCAAAAGTTATGTCCAAAGTTTTTTCGTAAGTATGGAAATGTCCAAGGTAAAAGTCAAAAGGTCAAAATTGTTGGTTTGAAATGGAAGATGTTGCCACAAAGAATTGATATTTGAAATATGAAATTTTAAGTACATGTATCTGCCGTTTAAAAATTAGAGCCAAAGTAAAAGTTTGGATTTTTGTGTAAAATAGGGTCAATCTCCAAGGTCAAGGATCTTGATATCAAATTATAGGTCTTGTCACAAGATATGAATATTGGAAATATGAAAGCCTTTGTTCTTACCTTTCAAAAATTAAGTTCAAAGTTGTATTTGAAAAGTAGGTCAAACTCCAATGTCAAGGTCAAAGGGTCAAACTTCTTGATATCCAATGAGGCGCCTTATCACAAGGATAACATACATTTATGTGAAGTATGAAAGCCCTTACTGTCCAAACATTATGGCCAAGGTTAAAGTTTTTTCTTAAGTACGGAAATCTCCAAGGTCAAAGTTGTTGGTACTCAATGAAAGGTCTTGCCACAAAAAATACATATGTAAAGTATAAAAGTCCTGGTATCTATTGTTCAAAAGATATGACCAAAGTAAAAGTTTGGAATTTTTGTGTAAAAGTGGTTCAAACACCAATGTCAAGGTCAAATTTGTTGGTAACTATGCGAAATATAAAAGTCATAGCTCCACTAAATCAAATGTTATGGGCAAATTGCGGACAAACAGACAGACAGACCTACGGGCACGAAAGAAACTATATACCCCCCGAAACTTCGTTTATTCGTTTACGGGGATGGGTGGGGGCATAAAAATGTATATAAAGTAACAGTTACTCAAATATCATTAGATATTCTTCTATATTAATTATCTTCAGTCTTTTCATTCAATTCTTACTTATTATAATGCCACGACTGAAGAGAACAGTCATTTCTAATATTATAATAAATATTGTACCTAGCTTTTACTACCTCACTTGATCATTCTGGCAAGTTCAGAATTACTAGTATAACCTAGACTAATTTATTAG